TCATTCATCAAAGTCATCAGTTGTGAATTTGCGCCTAATTGTGCATTTGTTTTTTCAAACTACTTGCAACTATTTCACTAAATACATAAATTACCTATTAAGTACACACGATTCGAAATGCCATAATAACAGTTTTCAGAAAATAGTAAAGTAAAATACGATTCTAGCAAATTATAGTCTGCTGAGGGTCACATAATCAGTTCAGTTAGACTAATCGAATATATTACCCTGTTAAAAGTCAATAACAATTTTGAGGACGGTTAATGCATTATTAGATTATGAAGCGAATGAATTGGGATGGGCGTAAAATACAGTCAAGTATACAAGTTTGTATTGGTTAGTTTTGCAAGAAAATTTTTTTTAATTAAAAAAGTAATTATTTAAAGCGCGGTAGTCGTCGCGCTGCGCATGTGCGACATTTGTGTTGATAAACATTGATTTTCCCAAAATCCAATGCGTTCTTCAAATGGAGATCACAAGTATGAGGTTTGACCTGGACGCGACTTGCATTGATTACCGACGGTGACTCCTTCAATACCTTCCAATCACATGAAAATTGCCTAATTAAAGCTTGGAAACGTCTCAGTCCGTACTCGTTGATCTGCGCAACAGTCAAAGTCGCCATCTTTGTTCATATGAGACCCATATATCTCACTACCGCGCTTTAAACTTAGAATAAACATTCAAGTGCTTAGTGGCAGAATATTTGACGGATATATAATTTGCCCGATATATATGGTATATTTAATCAAGCTAGAACTTATACTTAAATAAAAGGGTTGAATGGCAATGGGAGTTACAACATTTGATAAGCGGACAATGATTATACAATTAAAAAAAGAGTACATATATATAATTGCGTAACTATAGCTACTCTTATTCCGGAAACTTTCGCAATCTAGGAAAGAAAAGTAGACAATTCATTAGAAACGTATACATTCCTTTTGTATCCACATGTATAAAAATAATACAGTTACTCATGTGTGATGGTGTCGATGATACATGTACTTACCAACAGTTGAAGCAGATAAGGTATGGTATTCAGTAATGGAGTTAAATCTTAATATTTTGTTATGATGGTCTACAGCATATGTTTATAACTGTACAATAGCTAGTCATTATTATTGTTTCTATCGTGGTATACTCACTATCAAGCCTATAATGATAAACAATGTATAAAACACAAGGAAATAAATGAAATGTAGATATTCATAGTCATTCTAGTTTCTCTTGTATGTCGTCTTCCTCAACAAACATTACTTCGAAGGCACTGCCAACTTGTACATCAAGAAATTGCTCCCCAACCTAATAAACACGCTATTAATGTATTTATCATAAACCTGAAAAGAACAAGAGTAATACTAACAAACTGATGCCTGGTTAATTTAACGAAATATTGAATGAATACTAGAGTGAATACTATTCCTTAAATTAAAGCTTAATGCTTGTATTATTAGTAACTTGATTTTTTTTATAAACATTCCGAGGGTTGTTTTTGGTTGCAGTATCATTCTTACCATAAAGATACAGTCATAATGTATGGTCTCAATAAATGAGCCAATCATTTATTTATTTATTTATTTATAGATTATTATTTAATTGCATTATTCTACTTTTACCACCCAAGAAAATATTGTTATTAGAGTAAGAATGCATTTGGAAAACCAGATATTTAGTGAAATATATCGAAGGCAGTCTGTTTTCCCACTAACTAGCAGCTGTAGACGCAGTTCACAAATGTACCAAGCTGTTGTAAGATGTTGAAGAGCAAGCAAGTGTGAGGGACAATACAACAAGGTCTTGGTATAATATGTGGTATACTATCTGCGAGTGATATTATCTTTGTGTGTTTCAATCCATGGTCCAGGCCCCAGAATAGTATATACAGAATGAGTACCGATACGCCCGAGTACCGATTTTGTTAGCGGAAATTTCTGTTTTAACATTGCGAGCGGCAACTCGGAAGGGAGTACAGGATCCGAAATTGATGCAGTCCACATGACTTGCCAAGAAGCAATAATTAGCTGCAGAGCTAGATTGCAGTGTTTGCCTCATGCGATACCACCGTCAGCGTCGTCGTGATTGGTTTGGGTACAAATTACTTCGAGATCAAGTACCATAGAAATTCGTGGTTTAGCAGAGTCTGAATCTTCGAATCGAAATCGAGAAAAATTGGAATTGTCGGATGCATTCAGAGAATATTTTTCGAGAAATGTGAACAATCTCAGTCGGAAGAATACAGAACGCAGTTGGTCAACCATGTCTAGGCGTTCACATTGTCCTACCCGATCGATACCTCCTACCAGCGCCACAACATGGAGTCATGTATGGATATGGCTTGCCGAAATCAGTCAGGAATGGACGCCCAGTCGCAGGCAACAGGCAGACCTGAGAAACAAAAAGTATAAAGATTCCTGTCAATAGTTTGCCATCTAAGGTGCACGAGATTCTCGCATAAACCGGGCGTTAGCGCTTAACAGCAATTTTCTCTCCCCCCGAAGGCTTTTGCGATATAGTATTGGCATTCGAAAGAGGGCATGTGGAGTTTATTTAAAACCAATTCAAAACGACTTGGACACTAGAGTAAACATGGGTCTCCAAGAAGGAGCAAATGCAAATACAGTGAGTATTCAATTAATTTGCATGTTAAATGTGTAATACTAATTAAAAATAATAATATCTTTATAAACAATCATAATTCAATGTAATAATTACAGTGATTGGCAGTTGGGGTCGTTATCAACGTTTTATAAATATACTTTTTTTTTATAAATCTAAATGGATTAAAAATTTAAATTGACCAGTCCAGAAATTGTATTGTAACATTATCATTAGTTTTAATTAATAATAATTAAGTAGTTCAACATTATTCGCGTAGTACACTCTTAAATATTTGAATTTGAATGAAAGCTGATGATCGGTATTGATAATTTTTTTTTATAAATATGTTATAAGAAATTAAAATTAATAAATCTTCATCTTTCTGTAATGCCTACAATTTCGTGATGTCGTCCTATGAGAAAGACACAAATGAATATTAGCAACTGCCCAACATGAATGGGTAGTAGGAACACTGGCCGCATTGATTTGCCAATCTTACTGGACAGAATTTGATGGTGAAACATAGGTATCTGTATGTAGCCACATGTGAGGTGGGTGGGTTTTAGTGACAATGTCTGTGCAGCATATCATTCACATGTTTTTGAACACAATAAATAACAAATTGGTAATGATCAATCAATCAATCTTTATTCAGTACTGGGCAGCGACCCATCGTACAATATTTAAAAATACATAGTTAGAGGTGTTTTACAGAGAAACAGGAACAAATACTAGTAATTAGAACACCACAAAAGAAGGAAAAAAATATTGAGAAATCAATTTACATGTAAAGAATGGGTAAATCACTAAGATATTACATTTCAACTTGTCTCATAATTATCTCGTCTTTTGAATACTTGTAACAAGTATATAGCTAAGCGATGAATAATACAAGGTTGAGAGAAGAGACACTAGTTTTTCAATATTGGGATAAGTACACAGAGAAATTGGCATTAAATCGGCACTTAAGTCGTTGTAAAGGAGACATTTGAAAACTCGTTTTCTACAACAAAAACACAACACAACACCAGATTTACTACAAAAATAACATATTCATTCAATTACATGTTCAACTGGCAGCTTCAGATGTCTACCCGTTTCAATGTTGAGTTTATACCCATAGTAACGGGAACTTGCAAGTGAGTGTTTTAAGGTAGAGATGCAGGTTGCCTCTAATTACTGTAATTACATGAGTATAATATACTTTTTACCAATCAAGTTATATATCATTTGAAAGAGTTTTATTTAAACTTTTGAGTTTTATGGTTTACAATAATGTACTATGATACCATATTAAGTGGTGTTGATTTTGGGTTAAAATCATGCATTTTAGGTGAAAGTGCACTTAAAACTATTTAACTTTGGAATGCATACCCTAATTTTAATTTAAGAACACTTATTTAAAACTTATGTTTACTAGGAACATAATGGCTTATTTATTAGTGCTTCCATTGAAAAGTTTACTTGTTAATACATTTAAATACATTTCAGGTGCAATTGCTGTTTTTATTTTCCTATAAGTGGCAAGTCTGGACGATTGTGTGACCTCACTGTGCCATTCCTGCTGGCAACAATCTTTAATTCTCTGTAAAATAAATCTAGACAATTGTCAGTATCCCCAACTTGCTGCTCCATCCACACGATACCAAAACCATACTTATAAGATTTATGGCGTAATGGCAGTCAACGATTCTGATCAAAATTTGTATCGTGTGGGTAATCTGACTAAAGTTTTCTAATAATGTAATGAATGCTTGATTTATAGAAACAGCCCTACGTTGAACTTGAAAAGTATAACATTTCTTGAACTGTTGATTAACGGAGGAACCAATATTTTTGAAACGACATTTCATGATAGAGTGGGACAGGGCGAGAATGCATGGTATATACTAGTACATTATGTCACATAAATGGACACCTTTTGATGGTTGACGTAGAGCTGATTGTGGCAATCATAGTGAATATCGATATTTAGAAAGATCAATTAGCTCTTTTTGAACAGGAATGGGTATTTTATTATCTTAAATGTAAATGCCATGCACCCCCTAGTC